TCACCTCAGCCTCCCAAAGGTGCGGGATTACAGGCTGAGCCACCGAGCCCGGCTCATGCCTGATTTTATAACATTTGGCTTTGGTCATTTGGAAAATATTGGCTTACCAAATTATGCAGATCATCCAAATGTTGATGCATTTTATTATACATTATCAAAAAATCACAAATATTGCCATGTGTTTCATTGGAAAAGTCTTTAATAGTAAGTTGTCATGTACATGGTAGATGTAGGCACTCCAAAATTCTAATTTTTGTATGAAAGCTCAAATTATCATTGATAACTCTTTGAAGTGGCAGCTTATTTTATTCATTTTAAAAAATATTGGAGGGCTCGGCGGCTCAGCCTGTAATCCTGTGGCTTTGGGAGGCTGAGGTGAGTGGATTGCCTGAGCCCGCGGGTTCGAGACCCACCTGGACAACTTGGCGAGACCTCATCTCTACAATAAATCAAAAATGAGCCGGATGTGGTAGCATGCACCTGTAGTTCCAGCTACTGGGAAGGCTGAGGCAGAAGGATCGCCGGAGCCCAGCAGGTCGAGGTTGCGGTGGCCAGGAGCGGCCACTGCCCTCCAGTCTGGGCGACAGAGTGAGACTCCAACTCAAAAAAATATATATATTGGAAGGCTGAGGTGGAAGGATCATCTGAGCCCATCAAGTCAAGGCTGTGGTGCCCGTGAGTATGTCACTGCACTCTAACTTGGGCGACAGAGTGAGACTCCAACTCAAAAAAAAAATCTGCCATATACTTAAGTCTTTAGTTTGTCTATTCATCATTCTTTCACATAAAAATGTTCCATGACTGAATGTGGTGACTCACACTTGTAATCCAGCAGTTTGGGAGTTGGAAGTGAGAGGGTTACGTGAGCCCAGGGGTTCAAGACCAGCCTGGACAACTTGGCAAGACCTTGTCTCTATAATAAATTGAAAAATTAGGCTGGGCTCTGTGGCTCAGTTTGTAATCCCAACGCTTTGGGAGGCCGAGGTGAGTGAATTGCCTGAGCCCGTGGGTTCGAGACCCGCCTGGGCAACTTGGCGAGACCTCATCTCTACAATAAATCAAAAAAATTAGCTGGGAGTGCTAGCGCGCACCTGTAGTTCCAGCTACTTGAAAGGATAGCCGGAGCCTAGCAGGTTGAGGCTGCGGTGGCCAGGAGCATCCACTGCACTTCAGTCTGGGTGACAGAGTGAGACTCCAACTCAAAAAAAAAAAAATTAAAAAATTAGCTGGGCCGGGCTCGGTGGCTCAGCCTGTAATCCCGCGCCTTTGGGAGGCTGAGGTGAGTGGATTGCCTGAGCCCGCGGGTTCGAGACCCGCCTGGGCAGCGAGACCTCATCTCTACAATAAATCAAAAAATCAGCCGGGCGTGGTGGCGCATGCCTGTAATTCTGGCTACTCGGAAGGCTGAGGTGGAAGGATCGCCGGAGCCCAGCAGGCCGAGGCTGCGGTGGCCGGGAGCGGCCACTGCACTCCAGTCTGGGCGACAGAGTGAGACTCCGACTCAAAAAAAAATTAGCTGGATGTGGTAGAGCATGCCTGTGGTTCCAATACTTGGAAAGGTGAGGTAGAAGGATCGCCTGAGCCCAGCAGGTCAAGGCTGTGGTGACTGTGAGCATGCCACTACACTCCAGCCTGGGTGACAGTGAGACTCCAACTCAAAATAAAAATAAAAATGTTCCATGATAAAAGCAGTTATTTCACTGGATGCGGTGGCTCATGCCTGTAATCCTAGCACTTTGGAGGTGGAGACGAGAGGATTGCCTGAGCATCGGGGTTCAAGACCAGCTGGGTAATTTGGTGAGACCTTGTCTCTACAATAAATCAAAAAATTAGCTGGTTGTGGTGATGTGTGCCTGTCGTTCCAGCTACTTGGAAGGCTGAGGCAGAAGTATCACCTGAGCTATGAGCATGCCACTGCACTCCAGCCTGGACGATGGAGTGACACTCCTACTCAAAAAAAAAACAACAACAAACAAACAGTTATTTCAGCTTGCATCTTAATCACTCAGTGCTTTTTCTCAAGAAAACCATCATGTTTCAGTAAGCAGGAGAAGTGTTTTATATATATTTCTTGTTTTTTCATACAGAATTTTTTTTTGAGTTGGAGTCTCACTCTGTCACCCAGGCTGGAGTGCAGTGGCATGCTCACAACCACCACAGCCTCGATCTACTGGGCTCAGGTGATCCTTCTGCCACAACCTTCCAAGTAGTTGAAACTACACGTGTGTGCCAGCATGCCTGGCTAATTTTTTGATTTATAGAGATGAGGTCTCACCAAGTTGCCCAGGCTGGTCTCGAACCCATAGGCTCAGGCAATCCTTTCACCTCGGCCTCCTAAAGTGCTAGAATTATAGGCATGAGCCATCGCACCTGGCCCATACAGAAACTTTAAACACATGTATTCAGGTGTTGAGAGCTAATAAAATTAGTCATTTGTACTGCTTCATCAAAGATATTCTTAAGTAGAATTGACTTTTTACCCTGAAAGTACAGGCAGTGAAGAATACAATAGCTAATAGAACAGTTTAATTTTTGCTAGGGCAGTAATAACACTGCCTAAAAACTGTTGAAGTTGCAAAATCAGTGCAAATGTTAACATGGTGAAAAAGACAATAATGTCCTTGTATTATAATAAAAATAGTTTTGACCTCATGGATCCCTGAAGGGGTATCAGGGACCATCAGGGGTCCATGAACCACACTTTATGAACTTCTGGCCTAAGCAGGTCAGTGTTTGACCAGTACGGGTTTGCTGTTCTTAAAGTTTAATCATTGTTATATCTTTACACCAGTCAGAAGATAAAAACAAGATTAAGATGCAGTTTGACCTAGAAACCTTGTATCCTGTTTCATTGTGCCATCCAAAGACCTACATGTCTTCAGAAAGAGTACTTAGTTGCTAATATGGGCCACGTGATTTCTGTGCCGCAGCAGTCTAACAGGTGGGCATCCTTTTTGCTCCCTGCCTGGAACTCAGAGTGCATGCTTTATTACTCTATACTGTGTTCCTTACACGAATATTCTACATCTCTTCTTTTCAAGGGGTGAAATGGTGATTTATTGATTCCCTAAACTAGAAATGGTAGTAGTACTTTGCACATATTTCCAAGGTATTTGGAGACTGAAAGTGAAGGCACTAACCATTAGGGTCTGAAACATTCCCAAATATCTAATTGTTTGTGTTAGATGAGGTAGAAAAGGAGTGACCTACCAGTCAACTTGAGACGTGACATATATATTTATATACAAGCATAAAAAGTCTTCAGAAAACATTTACAGGCGGCTTTCCTTATGTTTGACTTGCAGCTACCTGAAAACTTTTGTTCCTATGCATAAAGATGTCTTTGGTGGACTTGGGAAAGAGGTTGCTAGAAGCAGCAAGAAAAGGCCAAGATGATGAAGTGAGAACATTGATGGCAAATGGCGCCCCATTTACCACAGACTGGGTAAGTGTAGCAGAAAGGTCTCTTAGTCATTTCCAGTGTATGCTTTTACCAACCTTTTACTTAGAGACTAAACAGACTTTACTGATTTCTCTTCATTCCCTTTCTGCCTCATATCCCTTGCAATGAGCTTTTTGTTCTTTGTCTCATCTGAATATATGGTTTTCTTTTTCTTTTAGTTTTCCAAATTGAAAGAGTCTCCTGTGGATATATAGGTGATAATTTTAAGGTATTATGTACTTGTGATTTTCTGTAATGCTTTTTAGAGTATTTTCTAAAGGCTTAATTCTCTCTGGAGTGTGCTTGGGTTTTAGGCGTCCGTGACTAGCTAGAAATTAAGTAACATCAGTATAATGAATGCATTTCCTTTTCTCCAGTATGTCCTGGTTCATAAAGAAAAGTCTAGCCATTTTGCTTCCTTTACCACTCAAAAAAAACATGAAAGAGGAAGGTGTAATTTGATGAGCCTAGTCAACCAGCTTGGAGGCCAGAGAGTTTCAGAAGATCCAAGTCCAACTTATAACGTGGACTTTCTTGGTATCCACAGGTTTTGCTTTGCCTAATTGCATGCATTGCCTAATTTTAACAATTTGGATGAGCCAATGCCCTCTATTCTGGAGTGATTAATCCACAACTTTAGAGGCCAACAGATTCTTTTTTTTTTTTTTTTTTTGAGTTGGAGTCTCACTCAGTTGCCTAGACTGGAGTGCAGTGGCCGCTCCCGGCCACCGCAGCCTCACCTGCTGGGCTCCGGAGATCCTTCCACCTCAGCCTTCCGAGTAGCCGGAATTACAGGCATGCGCTACCACGCCCGGCTGATTTTTTTTGATTTATTGTAGAGATGAGGTCTCGCTGCCCAGGCAGGTCTCGAACCCGTGGGCTCAGGCAATCTACTCATCTCAGCCTCCCAAAGGCGCGGGATTACAGGCTGAGCCACCGAGCCCGGCTCAAGCCAACAGATTCTTAATGCTTCACAAAAAGGAAGAGGAAGCCCATAAGATTAGCATTTCTATAAATAGACCTGAAAAGAGTGAGAATTAAATCCAGTCAGGCAGAAAGGCTGAATATATGAAAAGCAAAGAATAAACCAAACAGGTTTAAAATAAAGAGCACAACACAAAGAAAGGAAGATAGATCTCTGACCAGAGTGGATACTGACAGATAACTCTCCAAAATTTACATTGAGATGACAGGTTGACTTCTGTTGTTGACACACTATTTGGCAACGGGAATTTTTATTACTTTCTATTTTTATAGCTCTCTATTCCTTTCTTTGTGTTATGCTCTTTGTTTTAAGCCTGCTTAGTTTATTCTTTGCTTTTCATATATTCAGCTCTCATCAGTCTTTTTGCTCTGCTTTACTGTTGCAAAAAACTTCTTTTCTAACCAAATTTGTACCCAGAATTCCACATGTAACTTTCTAGTCTCTGTCCTTTTTCTTTTTCTTTTTTTTATTTTGAAATAGGGTTTTGCTGTGTTGCCCAGGCTGATCTTGAACTCCTGGCCTCAAGCAATCTATTTTCCTACCTCAGCTGCCCAAGTAGTTGAGACTACAAGACCAAGCTTCTGCCCTTTTTTTTTTTTTTTTTTTTTGAGTTGGAATCTCACTCTGTTGTCCAGACTGGAGTGCAATGGCACGTTCCTGGCCACCTCAGCCTCGACCTGCTGGACTCCAGCGATCCTTCCACCTCAGCCTTCCAAGGAGCTGGAACTACAGGCGTGCGCTACCATGCCTGGCTAATTTTTGATTTATTGTAGAATGAGGTCTCTCCAAGTTGCCCAGGTGGGTCTCTAACCCGTGGGCTCAGCCAATCCACTTGCCTCGGCCTCCCAAAGTGCTGGGATTGCAGGCTGAACCACTGAGCTTGGCCTTCTGCCCTTTGTTGAAGAATTGTTTTGTTTTGTTTTTTTGAGTTAGAGTCTCACTGTCACCCAGACTGGAGTGCAGTGACCGCTCCCAGCCACCGCAGCCTCGACCTGCTGGGCTCCGGCAATCCTTTTGCCTCAACCTTCCAAGTAGCTGGAATTACGGGCGCATGCTACGCCTGGCTAATTTTTTTTATTTATTGTAGAGATGAGGTCTCGCCTGCCCAGGCGGGTCTCAAACCCACGGGCTCAGGCAATCTACTTACCTCAGTCTCCCAAAGGCACGGGATTACAGGCTGAGCCACCGAGCCTGGCTGAAGAATTGTTTTAAACCTGTCTCTCCATTCCCTTTACCCTGACTCAGAATGTTCTTTTTGATCTATTTTTTTTTACCTTCTTCTACACCCTGCTTAAAATCATGTCCTTTAGGAAATCTTACCTGATAAATTCACCTGACTTAAAGCCATCATACTTAGCAGTTATATAGTTGGTGGTATATTTATTTGCCATTAGTGTATTAATTTTTTCTTTTTTTTTTTGAGTTGGAGTCTCACTCTGTCACCCAGACTGGAGTGCAGTGGCCGCTCTCGGCCACCGCAGCCTCGCCTGCTAGGCTCCAGCAATCCTTCTGCCTCCGCCTTCCGAGTAGCCCGAATTACAGGCATGTGCTACCACGCCCGGCTGATTTTTTTGATTTATTGTAGAGACGAAGTCTTGCTGCCCAGGCGGGTCTCGAACCTGCAGGCTCAGGCAATCCACTCACCTCAGCCTCCCAAAGGCGCGGGATTACAGACTGAGTCACCAAGCCCGGCTTGTTTTTTACTTTCTTTTTTCTTTTTTTTTTTTTTTTTTTGAGTTGGAGTCTCACTCTGTTGCCCAGGCTGGAGTGCAGTGGCACACTCACGGCCACTGCAGCCTCGACCTGCTGGGCTCAGGTGATCCTGCCACCTTAGCCTTCCAAGTAATTGGAACCACAGGCGTGTACCACCTTGCCTGGCTAATTTTCTGACTTGTAGAAACGAGGTCTCACCAAGTTGCCCAGGCTGGTCTCAGATCCATGGGCTCAGGCAATCCTCTAGCCTCAGCCTTTCAAAGTGCTGGGATTACAGGCGTGAGCCTCTGCACCCAGCATTGTATATTAATTTTTTTTTTTTTAGTTGGAGTCTCACTCTGTAGCCCAGGCTGGAGTGCAGTGGCCGCTCCCAGCCACCGCAGCCTCGACCTGCTGGGCTCCTGCGATCCTTCCGCCTCAGCCTTCCAAGTAGCTGGAACTACAGGCGCGCGCTACCATACCTGGCTAATTATTTTTTTATTTATTGTAGAGATGAGGTCTCACCAAGTTGCCCAGGCGGGTCTCGAACCCGTGGGCTCAGGCAATCCACTCATCTCAGCCTCCCAAGGTGCGGGATTACAGGCTGAGCCTCCGAGCCCGGCTGTATATTAATTTTTAAATTAAGTAATTTCTTCAGTCCTATCTACCCAACCAGCTTCTCTCTTAAAAGACAAGAACCAGCAGATAGCTCCCTTATCACTGTTCTGCCCGCTGTCTCCCTTGTAGTGTACTCAATAAACCTGCTTTTTCTATGCTTAAAAAAATAAAAATAAAAAAAGGGCCATAGCTTGTTCATTTGTGTCTCTCGAGTAACAATCTAGGACTCTGCACACAGTGGATATTTAATGAGTATTCTTTTCCCACAGCTTGGAACATCACCCCTCCACCTTGCAGCTCAGTATGGTCATTATTCCACAGCAGAAGTGCTCCTTCGAGCAGGTGTTAGCAGGGATGCTCGGACCAAAGTGGACAGGACCCCCTTGCACATGGCTGCAGCTGATGGACATGCACACATCGTGGAACTGCTTGTTAGGGTAAAGCAAGAATATAGGCAGAGCTATGTTGTAAAAAAGTTATCTACCTCCCTGTTTTTTTATTTAAATAGGACAGTAGGTTGGGAAGGATAAAGTTTAGGACAGTTTATAGCACTGAGTCACATCTCTCTTAAGAGTCTTTTTTGTTTTTTGGGTTTTTTTAGTAGGAGTCTCACTCTGTTGTCCAGGCTGGAGGGCGATGGCATGCTTACGGCCACTGCAGCCTTGACCTTCTGAGCTCAGGTGATGCTTCCGCCCCAGCCTTCCAAGTAACTGGAACCACAGGCATGCGCTACCACGCCTCGCTAATTTTTATTTATTTATTTATTGTAGAGACAGTGTCTTGCCAAGTTGCCCAAACTGGTCTTAAACCCCTGGGTTTAGGCAGTCCTCTTGCCTCTGCCTCCCAAAGTGCTGGGTTTACAGGCATGAGCCACTGCACCTAGCGTCTCTCAGGAGTCTTCAAGGCTATGAGGAGCTTGTTTTCTAATTTTTTTTTTTTTAATTCTAGAGATAGGTCTTGCTCTGTGTCCCAGGCTGGAATATAGTGACATGATCATTGTAGCTCATTGTAACCTTGAACTCCTGGACTCAAGCAATCTTCCTACCTCAGCCTCCCAAGTAGATAGGGCTATAGACTCACATCACTATGTCTAACTTTTTTTTTTTTCATTTTTATTTATTTATTTATTTTTATTATAAAGATATGGGGTACAATTCAGCGTTAGGTATGCAAATGTTAATTATGCAAGTACCCTTGTTGATGAGGTGCGCCCCTCCCTCCCCTAGCAGTTCCCCTCAACTGCCAATCCCATCTCTCCTCCCTGGCAGCTTCCGATTACTGCCAATCCCTTTCTTATAGTATTATAATTGTTCAAGGTCCGCTTATGAGTAAGAACATATGGTACTCTGTTCTTTGTTTCTGTGATAGATCACTGAGTA